TTCCACACGAGGGTCAATGACCGGCCGTGGATGGGCGCGCATCAGAGCCGCCTTACAGTGTCTAACGGGCACGCAAGCCTCGTTGAGGCAATAATCGATTGGAACTGTGAATGTTCTCAAATCTTAATGGGGGGAGTGCAATGGGGCTACACATACCTTGGTAACAGGGGTTTGTATCACGCCAGATGGGCATGGTGTGGCCACACCCAAATAAGAAATCGGTATAGCCAGTAGTTATACATGTATTAAAAATTTTACTAACGGTGTCTGGTTAGTACTTGATCGCGATAACTTTGATCGGAAAATGTGAAATTTGAAACGAGAATGTTTCTTGATTAACGTACGCTGGCTAAGTTCACGACATACAATTGTTCTATGTGCATGCTCTTTTTTACAGGTAATATAAATTACAAAGTTTGTTGTATATAAAAATAGATTACCGCAAAATTTGTGAATAAATCCTTAATCATACTACCACTGGACCATGTTCGCACAGCTCAAGCGCGAGAGCCTGCGCAAGCTGCAGGCAATGGAGGATAAGAGTCCAAAGGGTTGCATCGACGAACCAATTTTGGATATGATCAAAATTATCAATGCACATCCGGATTACGTGCGTTGGCGGTCATGGTTTGGCTGCAATAACATTGTGCTCACTCTTTCGCTTCTTTTGATTGAAACAGGTGACAAGTAGCTCGTGCTCAGGTCGTATTGCAGTCTTTTGTGGTGAAGCTGCTACTACTACAGATAGTGAAACAAATTCAAACTTGATTACGAAAGGAGGCAAGTGGCTTCTTGCTGAGCATGCCACCATCACGTTCGATCAATTAGTAGCAGGGTTGCATTCGCTTGACGGTAACTCTGGTAATAAAATGGTACAGAGATGGAGATGATGTGACGAATGTCTTATGAAGATGGCTGATTAGCTTCATTTGTTTGTTGAAGATTATATTCAAGCACGAGCCGTTCATTATGCACGTGGTTTGCCGTGAGCTTGACTCTGCAAAAAAGTTATTGCAATGGGGTATTGCGTGTGGATTTCGAGAGTCGGGCATCGTGCTAGGAAATCGGAAGATCATGTGTGCAATTCGTACAGCGGCAAATGGATTGGAAATCCCCCTTGGAAGGAGTGCAGAACGTTTGCTCGTTAATGAAGAGTATCTTCGGTGGATTGTAAATATTGCTAACGAGAAGTTCGAGGCAAACAAACTAAAAACAGATAGACTTCTGACGTCTTTTCGTGCTCAGTTCTGCCATCCATCTACAAATTCGTATGGTGTTGACCGATCTGTAGTAAAACTGAGCTTCTGGAAGGAACTATCAAGCGAAGTCAGAGTGAAACTGGTGGGACATTCTAGTGTGCAATACAAAAATACCATTGTTGTATTCGGAGGTCATGGATCAACTGTGTCTGGGACGACAACTCGCGTCGCTGATGTAGTTTACCTTTGCGTCGCTGAAGATGGCTCCCTTCAGCAAACATATCATTCGACAACAAGAGAAGATGGTCCATTGCCTCGGATCTATCATACTGCTGTTGTGGTGGGAACGCGAATGATTGTATTCGGAGGTCGAGCTAGTCCCGCTAAACCCTTTGGTGATCTCTTTGTTTTGGATCTTGAGACAAAAATCTGGGAAAAGATTGCTCCTCACGGAGTTGGGCCCGCTCCGCGCTGGAAACATTGCAGCTGTGCGGGTAAGCTCATTTACCAAGTAGACCTGCTCACGCTAGAAGTATTGTGAATTTACAACTGTACTCATCGTTTTGCTGTATGGAATTGCAGTGGGTTCTACTGTGTACATTTATGGTGGTCGCGATACCAAGCAAGTCTTCAACGACCTTTTTGCTTTGGATATTGGGAATCCCACGCAGTGGCGTCAAATTGGTATGTGAATTTCACTTTAATGCTTTTCGATTGCAAAATTACTTACTTCTATTGCATTTTGATTTTCGTAGAGACCTCATTTGATACTCCCAGACGATTTGATCATATTGGTGCAGTTGTCAACTCAACAAAGCTTCTGTTCTGGGGAGGAATGTCTTCGCTGGAAGACGGAGATTGCAGTGGCGAAAGAGATAGCAGCGCGTGCTTAATATTTGATATCATCAAGGAGACATGGGATTCTGTTAAGCTCGAAAATACCTTGAACAAAAGTCATCCACCTGCACTTTTTGCTGCAAGCGCATCGTCGATTAGCAATCACCAGGTTGTAGTTGTAGGCGGTATAACGTCTGAATTGCTGGCAAGTGGAGATAAGGCGACCCAAAAGGTATATCTGCTAGACATTGAAGCATCGCAATGGTCCGAACTTGGCGAAGTGAAGCATACAGATGCAGCTTTTGTAGGACACAGCACGGTTTATATCGACACAAACAACTCGATTTACATTTTAGGCGGTGGGTTCCAGTGCTTTGGCTTTGGACAGTTTTATTCGTCGACATACTTGTGCAATCTGTCGATAGTGCAGAGCAATTCGATTGTTCCTAGCAAGAATCAGGTTGTCAACACGTCTGATACAAGTGTGTCAGCCTCCTCAATTTCCAAGTCTCTTGGTGTTCTTGTTGACAAACTGGAAGTAAAAAAAGTCAAGACTTTGCTTGAAAAGCTGCATGTGTACGACAAGTCGCGACGCATCCACGTTGCTCAGGGTACACAACCAAACAAAAATTCGAATCGTCGAACGATGTTTTTGCTTCCTGTGGTATCAACTATTCGTGACGTTATAGCCTCAACGATTGATACTGAATTGTTGAAGCTGCAAATTGTTGGTGACGATGATGCTTACGCAAACAAGTTCGGCAAGACAAGTGGATACAATCGGAACGAAATGATCCGCAGCACCATCACTGCTTTTGCTTGTAATAATGGTATTTCGTCTGAGTTAATGAATGCTATACCGAAAAAGTTCGAGTTTGTTGGTGACGTTTTGTTGATTCCGCGTGACTCATTCCTGGAACCGGAGTGGATGTCATTTGCGGACAAAATGTGGGCACACGTCTGTGCTTCCACTACCCCTGCGTTTACTCGTGTTGCACGAAAGGCCTTTATCGATGCCAGTGAGAAGCGCCAAAGTCACGTAAAACTTCTCTATGTAAATGATACAGCTCTAGTCTCAGAGCGGAGCAAGAAAGCTCCGGGATGGGTAGAAATTCGAGAAAATGGGATCATTTACGGATGGGATCTCACCAAAGTAATGTTTTCGTCGGGCAATGTGACTGAGAAGGCCCGTATGGCAAACATTGGATGTCGCGGTGAGACAATAGTTGATCTTTTTTGCGGCATTGGGTACTATGTCCTTCCTTTTCTCGTGCATGGTGGTGCTGCGTTTGTACACGCATGTGAATGGAATCCAGACTCGGTAGCTGCACTGCGTTTTAACCTGGAGCGCAATCATGTGGCAGACAGATGTAAAATTTACTTAGGAGACAATCGCGAGTCAGCTCCTACGATTGGTGCTATCGCAGATCGTGTAAATTTGGGTCTCTTACCTACAAGCAAGAAGGCGTGGCCTTTGGCTATTCAGGTTCTGAAACCTTCTGGTGGCTGGCTCCACGTACATGACAACGTGGCTGTGGAGGATCGTGAAACGTGGAAGCAGCATGTGTTAGACTCGATACAGGCGCTTGCTAAGTCTTATGGACATCACTGGTCCATCACGTGTGAGCATGTAGAGAGGGTCAAGTCATATGCCCCAAAGGTATATCACCTCGTTGCTGACATTTACTGTAAAGCTAGATCGTAGACAAAGTGTACATGAAACTCAATATTATAGACTAGTGAGGGTCTCGGTGTTTCACTGTTGCCTGCACAAACCTCGACTCAATCACTTTACTAAGGTGTCCACCAAAATCTAATTACCCTTCCATGAGACTCCTTGACGAGTTCTTACACGATTCAACCACAACATTTGATCCAATGTGAGAATTACCGGTGAAAAGCACCAAACTCTACATGTTTTCACAAATTCCGGAAACGACGATTCGGATAGAAGTTAGATTAGATGGACTAGTATGTCTACCTTAAGACATTCTAGAGCTCAAGTAACACGTTCCCTTATAGAAAGAGCGTGGTTGCTGAAGTAGCGATAAATATTTTTTTTTGTGATTGGAGAATCTCCAACCCAATATACATAGATGTAATGGGCCGTACGTCACCATTACATGACTGGATCTCCGAGGTACATGCTCCCTTCATGCATTGCGGGAACAAGTTCAAAAAAATTACAATACGACAGATCCCACATGCACGTGTGCCATCATCGAATGATGTCACGAATATCGAATCGAGACGTCCTTCTACCTAACTTTGAAACACCAAACTATTCCCACTGTCTTTTACCATTTACTCGAAGTCGGGTATTCCGATGGTCTACCTGCTATCAAGGAGAAGGAGAAGATGGATGCGGCGGGATTTCAATCGTCATCAGTTAAGCTAGATGAGATCGATGGTTTCGATATGTATATATACCACCTGAACTTTGCTCTTGGGGATAGTGATGCTATTATAACTGACGTGATTAAACAGAACCACCATGTGATCAACTTCCCAAAAACCAACAACAGATGCATGTTCTATTGCATTATCTATCACTTGGATCAAAGGGAGAAGAACGACCCACGAAAGATTTAAACTTCATTGAAAAAATGCGCTTAAATAGATCTGTAAGCCCAATGGGCTTGACTATTCTCTTGGTGCTTACCGAAGCTCTAAGCCAATAGATATTTGTGAGCTCCATCAACTGAAAGAGTGGGATTTTGATGTTTACGCACTGAATTAGAGACATCGAAAATCAAAATGCATTCGAAAAACAACGAAGGCTTTCGAAAATACCGTCAGTATACCCAGTTATGACAATCACGCGATGTTTATCAAAAAGGTTGACGATATCAGTGTCCGTAATGCGAGGTTGTGCTCACTGAAGCTGTTATGTTATATAATCACAAGAGGGATTAACGTGAGGAAGCGAGGTTTGTGACGAAACCACAATGTTTATTAATCAAAAGAAAATTAACCAAAGATTAGAATAATATTTCAATCATTGCATCTTTATGATTCAAAGCGGGGCTGAAAATCAAAACGGGGATAATACCAAGTTTACAAATAAGCCACATCTGTCTTCATCAACGAAAGCCTCACGAAAATTTTATTTTATCAGCGTGAATTCAGGTAACCTGTTAGAAGAGATGTTGAATAAATCCACGACAGTAGAAAATATAGGAGTATAATTTTAACGAGTTTAGACAGTTGCTTGATGCAATCATCAATAGCATGGTTGCTCAGCGTCTGTAGCCCCGTTCAGTATATCGATCATGGAAAGTAACACCGATGGAGATATTGATGAGAGACTTAAAAAAGGATAATTTGGTTCACACTTTCAACTTCATAAAATGGCCAGGGTGCACATCACACAAACATAAACGTATGACAGAGAAATTAGCCGCGTTCCTTACTCAAATTCAAGTTTGGTAAGTAGAACCAGAAATTGATATCGACCTGATCAAGAATGGTTTTTTTCGCTGGCCTTGGACCTAAGATAATTCTACTATGCATCACAAACTCTAACTATATGTAAGTTTTGACCGACAGATTTAGGATGCTGGATATATTGAATGATTGCCCAACGTGAACGAGTTATAGAAAGTATCTTGAGACATACCTTGGCGGATGCAAAATGCGAATACAAAATTTGTTGCACATGTGGTTGGTATAGGTCTATCACCACATGAGTATATCACCAGCTTTGAGCTACAGCTTAACTTCAAGGAACGTGTATTGTAAAATATGAGCAAGTCAAGCTTGTGTGGGATCATTACAATGAAATTAATCAAGGAACCTTGATGTCGTCGCTGCTATTGAGTCTCATCTAGACAGACTTCTTCAGGCGACTTGATCCGACATGCTCTCCGATGGTGTTAGTCTAACGGGCTTATTTGAAAAAGTGATGTATTAGACCTGCTTCTCAAATTTGATTCTTTCGAGCAGAGAACCAGGTGAGGCATTCGAATGCTCTTAATGTCGATTTTCTGGTTATAAGACCCATGCCATCTGACAGATGGGGAACTTGAGATGACCAATACCCATTTGAATACGCTAAAAGGCAAAAGTATCTGCAAGCTTAGATAGAAGATATTGACAGCGGATCGCGTGAACAATAAAAATGGGTATATCGATGAAAATATTTTGGTTAGCTGCAAGATATAACATTGCTAGAAAGGATACGAGCTCAAAGGCGTTATCATATCAGACGCTGCTTAAATCCAACGCGAAATGAATTGTGTATTTAATTGTTGACGAGCAAAAGTAATTAACCATGATATGCAAGCAAACAGTACGGGCGGACCCTCCATCGTCTTTATTGATATGCAAGCGCAATCAAACGTATGTCAGAGTTAGTGATAAGTTTTGTACGAAGTCATAAGTTTTGAAGGAGGTTTTTTGAATATGATGCTAATATCTTGTATATTTGGATTGAGACTTTCCAGCACTTGAAGGAGTACTTCAGTGAGATGATCCTATCTATAAGATCATCAAAATCGATCCATGAAAATTAAGAGTGTATGATGTCATTTTACTAGAGGGTTTATCCGCGCCAAGAATCCCGCAAACTGACCGGAAGCTGCTTTGGTCATCAGATCCTTATATCTCTCTATTATTGAAGGGGTCTTCTGGAGCACAGAATTATCGACATATTCATTTAGCAGAGCATTAGCTAATATATTACGAAAACCATCCATGGAATTTGTTTTATACGCTCGACGCGAAGAAACGGATCGAGTGACCGCCTCCTTCGCTTCTGTGGCGGGATCCGTCGAGCGGAAGCCGAATTCCACACGACGATCGAAAACCGACCATGGATGCGCGCTCATGGGAGCGGCTCTGCGGACAGCATCCAGCTGCTGTTTCTGCGCCTCGTCGAGGTCATTGGTAACAACACCACTTCCTCCGGAAATCGGGAGTTTGGGAATCAGACATGGCGTCCGCAAGATTCGAGCAGGGCTCACGTCGCGCCACTGGCGCACCTCGCCCTCCTTTTCTTCCCATCCTGGGAAAAAAGTATCCGACTCGAAGCCAACTTCCTCCAAATTCTCGACGAGGTCATCCGTCGCCCGTGGCGAGCGCGGTGCGCGGTCAGGAGTGGACATCGCGTCTGTGTTCTTAGTCGTGCAATCCTGTCGCTGACAATGAGCTACGCAGTTCTCAGTTACCGAAAGCTTGGGCTGCATTTCCCTTGAAGTCGCGGACGTGCTGTCTGAAGTCCACCGTGTGCTGGAGACGAAGAAGAGCTCTGCCACGCGAGCGTTATTGGAGCTGGCGAGGCTGGGTGTCTTTCGTGTCTTCGACACAGGGATCATTGAGCAGAGAAGGCCCTGGAGATGTTGTAGTGTCTTAGACACGCGAGCCTCGTTTGAGGCGACAGTTGAATGTGAGGTGTAGCTGTTCACAAGCTTGATGGGGGAGAGTGTAATGGGGTTTCATGTGCCCTGGTGTGAAGGATATGTGTCACACAAGATGGTGTGGCTACACTTAAACAATAAGTATGTACGTGGCTTTGCTTACCAGTAGCTTAAGGTTTTCCTTTCTATATGGGATAACCTCTAGATTTATATAAAAGTGGCTTTGTTGCAAATAAAATCTAGAAATAAAATTATGTTTGAATTGTATCTATCGCATTATTTGTATTTAGCCTTGGGTTGAAGTTGTAATTACTCTTGGAGTCAGTGGATTGCGATCCGCTACACTCGCACTGGTTTTAAATATAGAACGAAGGTCACCGACCTTAACCAAGCTTCCTCTAAGCGAAAGAGCTTCAGCAGCCCCGCTGTGGTCTTGATCTCTCTTTCCCTTACGCTTGGAATAGTAATGGAAAGCAAATTTCGATCGCAGGAAGTTCTCGCCGAGCGCGTGCATTCAATTTTTGAGCTTCTTGATGAGCAATTACTTTTATAGACGCATGGATCTCATTCGCTTCATTTGCATTTAGCTTATTGGCCAATAGTTTCACACCTGAAGCAGGAGGATGTTTGATTGCTATCATCCTTTATAATGGGCTCTCTTCTCATGATGAATCTCGGCAAGCGACTGTATTTATGTCTGGATTGACGTTCGGCTTCCCGTTTCGATGTTTGTGAAGCCTTTCCTTCTTGATAATAAACATCTTTTTGTCAGATATGGTGATGAAGGTAGTTGCTTTAGGATTTCCTTCCATATCCTCTCCATAAACCAACGCAACGTAGCCGAGTTTGCATGTTGTATCGAATATTCTTACTAACTGTCACCAACACCGCTGATTTCACCATATGTTGCTGCTACTTGAATATGCATGCAGTAGCGGCTGTATTCTCGTTTTTCAGCATTTCAATAGTTTCCTTTAAACTCACAATGCTGGCATCATCTTCGATCTGTAGTAGTTCATACGTATTACTTAGCGCACTGATATATTCTTCGATACTTACTCGTTTTTCCATAATGTCTTCAGTTTCCCTTTGTGCGATCCTGCTCATACTATATTTTCTCCGCAGCGCTTCTAGACAGCTGACGACCTATCGTTCCTTGGCAGTTATCTATTTCTTAGTTATTATGCTTATTTATAATCGAGTGAATTGAACTCTCTCTCTCTCTGGCGATATTGAATTGATTCTTTAGTATCATACTTTAGTATCGTACTTTTGTTTCTGATATTGCTGATTTTTTCGTGCCAGTCTACTAATTTTATCACTTTGTTCAGTGAAACTTCTATGTCGCAGTAAAACAATACCAAAATATAGCAGATAGATGGTCCTCGGTACACATCATTCTCTTTCGTTCGACTTGATTGTATTGCGGCTTTCGACAGCATGGACTCCCGGAGTCAAGTGTTTCTGACAGATCCCCACGTTTCACTGGGTGTTTTGGTCGACAATCTTTAAGGTGCTGGGCGCCAAGCTGAGCTGAATATGTCAACAGCGGGCCATCCGCTGACTGGTGGTCAAACTGAGCGCGTGATGCGCGTCGTCGAGGACAATCTTTGCAGTGTCTGCGCTGAGACTCCGAGGCACTGGAGCGCCATACTGCCACACATAGAGTTCGCTCTAACGATGCAGCGCATTCATCTACCGGCTTGGCGCCGTTCCACATGAACGGGTTCGTTCATCCTCGCGTTCCGCTGACGCCGCCATCCTATGGTTCAGGGCTTGGTGCGGGAGGAATAGCCGAGCGTCAAGTTGATGTCAGCCCTCTCACTGTTCGTCAAAAAGCCGATGACTTCCTGTCTACCAGACTGAATACGTTCGCGATGCGATGGCTAAAACCAAGACATGCAGAAGGAACATGCAGACGAAGCGAAAATTTTAGAACCTGTTGAGGTCGGAGACCTGGTTTTATTAAATGCTAAGAATATTTCTTACTCATGCAATTTTTGCTGTCTTTACGACGAAGCTCCGTCCATGGCTTATCGGACCTTTCAAGTTGTGGCCAAGCGGGGTCTTGCTTATGCTCCTAAACGGATGCGCACCCACCCGGTGTTTTATGCGGGCTTGCTTAAGCCGTTCTGGGATCCGGCGCAAGTGGACGCGGAAGCGTTGGCGCTGGAGCAGCGCCCATAGGCACTATGCCACCCAGAAGCTGGACCAGCAACTGGTTTTGATCACGGAGTGCAACGATCTCCGTCTCTATCGGCGCCAAGCGCTCCACCTTAGCATGAAGCGACGCATTCGTCTGCTCAATGGCTAGGAGCCGCTCTCAATGTCTTTCGCGCAGCGGTATGCAACCCCAGCATGATGCTCAGTGGACTTCCGATCGCGACGGATGTCGTTTTCAAGAGTTCGAAGAGCATCGCGAGTCACTGGACGGCGATCGACCCAGTTATCATCGTCCACCACCAACTCTCCTCGACGAGTATGGTGATATCTACTATCACCTGGAACGTCTTGAGTGTCGACGTCGTCGCCAAGGTCAAACGTAGTATCTTGTGAAGTGGCGGGGATACCCCGACTTCGAGATTTCGTGGGAGTTTGGAGTGCCACTTCAGCAAGACTGCCCAGACGTCGTGGACGCTATTGATCAGTGGGATCATGATGTTCCCCGTTGTCGTACGCCCCGCGCTTCTCGGCACAAGCCAAAAACGTTTGAGAGCCATGAAATGAGCTCAAGCTATGACCCTGAGCTGCTTTGGTCGCAGCCTCACCCGTGTGAGACACCACAGAGCTCGCGGAAGCGTGATGGTTCAGACCATACGTCGCAGGGCAACAATCCAATAAATGTCGGCGACGCGCCTTGACATTGGCAAACTCAAACCGAAGATGGCGTTTCAAGCGCTTGTCCACCTTCTTGTGGCTCAGCTGTAGGCTGTACAGCACGAAAAGTTTCCGGTGCCGCTGCACCAATCGCTTAGAGAGCTCTTCTTAACCTGCAGCTGTTTCGCCAGGGGCGATCACCACAGGAATCATTTGCATCGCGAGTACAGGAGAGCCTCTTTGTTGAGCACGATTTTGACGCTGAACGTCTCCACGGGTTCTTTGAGGCCCCAAGGAGCGAACTCGGAGAGCTTTTCGTTCGTATAGGTCAGCTTGTGTAGTGGCCGGGGGCCGATCATGTAGACGCCCAACGATCGAGTGACCGCCTCCTTCGCTTCTGCGGCGGGATTCGCCGAGCGGAAGCCGTATTCCACACGAGGGTCAAGAACCGACCATGGATGCGCGCATGGGAGTGGCTCTGCGGACAGCATCCAGCTGCTGCTTCTGCGCCTCGTCGAGGTCGTTGGTAACGAAACCACCTCCCCCGGAAGTCGAGAGTTCGGAAATCAAACACGGCGTCCACAAGATTCAAGCAGGGCTCACGTCGCGCCACTGGCGCATCTCGCCCTTCTTTTCTTCCCATCCTGGAAAAAGAGTATCCAACTCGTTGTCAACTTCCTCCAAACTCTCGACGAGGTCATCCGTCGCCCGTGGCGGGTGCGGTGCGCGGTGCTCGGATGCCGAGGGCTTAAGATGCGCTTTCTTTGAAGCCGCGGAGGAGCTGTCCAAGGTTGCACCGCGTGCAGGAGACAAAGAAGGGCTCTGTCCGCGGGCGTTCTCGGAACCAGCGAAGCTGGGTATCTTTCGCGTCATAGACTCAACGCTCATTGAGCATAGAATGCGTGCAGAAGGTCCTGGGGACGTAGAGGTGTCTAAGACACGCGGGCCTCGTACGAGGCGATAATAAGATGTAAATTGTGGGTTTTCACAATTTTGGTGGGGGGGTGTACAGGGTTACACATACCCTGGTATGAAGGGGTGGATCACACAAGATGGTCTAACCACACAATGGGATGTCGACACTTAAACAAGAAGTCAATACGTGGCTTGACTGCCAGATGTATATTAATTAGGTTTTACTTTGTAGATAGGAAAACATAGAGATATAGATATAGGTGGCTCTGTCGCGAGTACAACCAAGAAATACAGTTTATTTTTTGAGCGGAAGAGTTTATTTGCCTTGAGTTAAGGTTGTGGTTACTCTCGTAGTAAGCAATTTCCGATCCACTACGGTCGTACAGGCTCTAAGTATAGAACGAAGGTCACCGAAGTTAACTTAACTTCCTCTAAGCGAAAGGGCTACGGCAGTTCGCTGCAAATGAGCAACTATCACTTTGTCTGTAAGCAATATGTTTAACCATGACAGTGACTGTGGCCGTTACCGGAATACTTTAACGTCATCCACAAGCCTTCAGCGGTGTAATTTTAACACTTGAAGAATTTGAACAAACGTCTCATCTAAGAGTTCGACAATATGCGTGAAGAGCTTATTCTGGGAATTAACCAATTAGAGCTAATCACGATTACACTGCATCTACACGTTCAAAGCGAGCGGTTAATTATACTAGCATAGTGAAAAGCCAAGCAAGAAGACTAAAAGACCATCATTTATATTTTTGTGGAGTAGGCAGAGATCTTCGAATAATTAACGATAAGCTGATAGCCTTTTAAATCACTTTGGTTTGATTGCTTCATTTTCGATTACATCAACCAGTAGAGTCAAGCCCTTCGATAGTAGACCTTGTGCGATGTGGCCGATGGCTTTAGTATTCTTCTCGTTCTGAGTCTCTGATAAGAAGTTACTTCCATGAGCACCTCGTCAAAATGCGATATGGCTTCCAGGTAACTCCATGGACATTCTTGATCCACAAATTGATTAGGTTATTCAAAATCGATTAGGTTATTCAAACCTAATCAATCTGTGGATCAAGAATGTAGGACCAATCTTCTACAAGTCAACTCCCATGTCCGTTAGTCGTTTTTGGCGTCGTTGTATCTGATTGGCTGACATTTGAGATATGTCTACAAATTAAGCAAGAGGAAACATGGTGAAGCTGTTCTGCGCGATTGTCGGAGAGCAGGGAAGCGCATTCCCCGTCAACATCGCTTCGAGTGAGTCTGTTGGGGATCTGAAGGAAGAAATTGCGGAGAAGCAGAAGTATGACTTTGCCGCGAGCAAGCTGCAGCTTTTTCTTGCCAGAAAAGGCGACTCGTGGTTGCCAGACGATGATCCTGCTGCGTTGCAACTCGAAGTAGGGAAGGTTCACAATGACATCCAAGTGTTGATCAATGAAGAGAAGATGAAGGCGACGTGGACAATTAAAGAGGTGTTGAAAGCCAACAACATAACACGATGGCGCGCCCCAAAGTCAAAACACATCCACGTTTTGGTGGTGACTCCGGAGCAAGAGCAAGAGAAAACGAGATTATGGCTTGTCGATGGATTGGTCGAGAATGCCCTTAACACGAAAGGAATTCGCTACAGATTGTTTCGGTTGGCAGATTCGTATATTGGATACTATGATCCTGACCATCGCATCGGCGACCAGATCCAAGCACTGTGGTATGATGGCACGACGTTGCGGGTGCATGTGCTATTTGAAAAAAGTGAGTAAATTGCGTTTTCTGTGTCGCAGATTGCATGTGGTGATTCATTGTGTGTTTCGCAGAGGAAAAGGCCCTGGAGTTTGAGAGTGTAGTCCGTAATGAACGACAGACAATTAATTCCCCGCTGAATGGTCAAGTGATCAAAACTTCTGTTACCCAAGTTGTTCAAGTATCCTGTGAACTGCGGCGCATCTGCTACGAGCATTATGATCCTCAGGCAACCGAATCTACACAGGATACGATGTCTTCTATCTCAACGAACACTACGATTGTTGATGTGATGACCGACGAGTTCAGATTTCAACGAATCGAAAGTGAAAAGTGGTTTGGACCACTTGGAAAGGCACAGAGCTGTCATTTGATGTCGAGAGAACATTGTCGTAGATACGAAAGTTATCATAAGTACGACAACGACAAAAGTAATCGTCTCGCTCTCTCGTCAGAGATGCACGGCTGGTATGATGCTCTCACGGTTTCCGTGCCAGTGATGAATATTCGAGTCGAATCAGTTTCGCCGCATCCAGTGATCAGCAACAGGTTTGAAGTAAGTGTGTCAATTCCCGCTGTTTGTTTATGAACCCTGCTATTCATTTCCTGTTCCCTTGTAGATAAAGTTGATTGTCAGCGCGTTGGATGCTGGTTATGGTGAGCTTATCTCGTTGCGCATGAAGGACGGTTTCGCTGCATCGGATGATCGCTTAGAGATGCAAACCTGTGTCTACATTGAGAATCCCATGGTATTCTGCGAATGTATCGAATGGAAGCGTAAACAGATTAAACAACGCTGGCAAGAGTACTTTGACATGACGTCTACAACTGATTAACAATTATTTATTTCAGCAGCATACGATAGCGTTGATACTGCCTGTGTCAACAACTTTCCTATTGACCTCACACCACTATCAGTATCCCACCAGACTGTTTCTGTGTACCCTATCGAACCACCACCTTCCATCCTTCCGTTGCTCGACTCAGGCATAATCCCCCTCTTTGCTTTTGATAGCGAAGATTGTAATGATTGATTGCCTTGTAAATAAGTGTCGGGAAGTATAGCTATCTACTTTGTAAAAGGATCCGCAAGTATTGTTACCTTCGAAAGAATGGGTATAGCAATAGCAAAGGAACCTATGTGTAGAGTCTTATCAAGTATAATAACCCTTCAATAAAGGGTCCGATCGTGGATTTACGAGTTGGGCTAAACGTGAAACGATCATAGTTGATGAAATACTACTTCTCTATCGCTGATTGTTTGTACTTATTGATTCTGTTGGTGCTTTGGAATCGTGCCACTTCACGGCTTTCTATACTTAGTTTTTTGTTTCGTGGTCAATCAACAGATATGCTAAACGATGCGAACGAATATTAGATTTAGTATGCTTCGCTCAATCAGACAAATTGAAATTTAAAAAACCCTTGTGTTGACATACTAATATCGCAATAAGCATGGTCTTCATAGCTTCTCAATCTTCTTTCCCAATCGTCTTATGCTCAGTACTTATGAAATTTCAAAAGTGCACTGTGAATTTAGCTGTTTACTCTTTTCAACAGTTGTGCGGGCACACTATTGAACGACGCTTTCAAATCTTTATGGCTACACATAGCCCAGTATGTTGGTCTCAACGACCAAGACATATGCGGTATAAGCCCATCGCTTGGTTACCTCTCACAGAGGATGGCCAGGTGGCTCTCCTTCTTTGCAAAATATAACTTCGAAGTGAAGTAAAAGCCAGGAAAGCAGAATGCTTTAGCTGATGCGTTGTCACGCAGACCGGATTATGAGCTTTCTCATGTCACGACGGTGACGTTGTCAGTGACGGAGACGTCGAAGTGCTGGAGCGCCATGCTGCCGTTCCTAGAGTTTGCGCTGAACAATGCAGTGCATGCGTCTACCGGCTACACACCGTTCTACGTGAACGGGCTTGTTAATCCCCGCGTCCCGCTGACGCCGCCATCTCATGGCTCAGGGCTTGGGGGATATATAATCGAGCGGCTAGCTGATGTCTTCCCCATCACCGTGCGTAAAGAAGTCGATGACTTCCTGTCTACCAGACTGACTGTCTTACGACACGTTCACGATGTGATGGCTGGAAGTAAGACATGCAGTAGGAATATGAAGAAGAAATGTAAAAAACGTTAAGGTCGGCGACCTGTGTTTATTAAACGCCAAAAACCCTCCAACACATGCAGTTTCTGCTGTCTTTAAGACGAAGCTCCGTCGACGGTTTATTTTTTCATGAGAAGAATGCGCATCCACCCGGTATTTTATGTGGACTTGCTTAAGCCGTACCAAGATCCGGCGCAAGTGAACGCGGGGGCGGCACCCAAAGGCGCTTAGCCACCCAGAAACTGAACCAGCAATTGTTTCCGAGCACGGAGTGCAACAATCTCCGTTTCCAACGGCGCAAGGTGCTCCATCATCGCACGAAGTGACGTATTCGTCTGCTCGACGGCTAGGAGCAGCTCCGACAAAACGCCATCGTCCTTAACGTGAGGCAGTCGGTGCACAACATTCTTCAAGCTCTTGAGCTCTTTCGCACCACGGCAAGATACTCAGCGGAGTGCCGATGACGACAAGCTTTGTCCTCTAGAGCTCGAAAAATATCGTGAGTCACCGAACGGCGATCGTCCAAGTCGTCATCGTCCGCCACCGACTCTTCTGGACGAGAACGGTGGCGTGCACTATTACGTGGAACGCCTCGTGGGTCGACGTCAGCGACAGGGTCAAACCCAGTATCTTGTGAAGTGGCGGAAAAACATAAACTCTGTAATTCGTGGGATTTTGAGGTGCCACTTTGGCAAGACTGCCCAGACGTCGTGGACGCTTATTTTCAAAGGGTCATGATGCTCCGCATCGTCAGACGCCCCGTGATTCTCAACAGTAGCCCGGAACCCGAAGGGCTATGAGATGAGCTCGAGCTATGGCCCTGATCTTCTGTGGTCTAGACTCATCCGTGTGAAAACCCACAGAGCTCACGGAAGCTTGATGGATTATTCCATATGTCGCAGGGCGACACGGCGTTGCGCCTTGAGTTTGGCAAAATCGAACCAAATATGGCGGTCTACGCGCTCGTCCACTTCCGTGTAGCTCCGCTGTAAGTTAGAAAGTGAGGTAAGTTTGCGGTACCACTGCAACCATTGTTTAAAGAGCTCTTCATCATCTGCAGCGGTTTCGCCAGGTACGAACACCACAGGAATCGTCCGCGTTGCGGTTACAGGGGTGCCTCTTCTTTGAACACAAGGTCATGCGCGGTACCTATCCATTGGGATTTCTTGATGTACCAAGAAGCGAGCTCGGAGAGCTTTAAGTTGGTCAAGCTCGGCTTGTGTAGTGGTCGGTGCCCGACTACGTTGACGCCTAACGATCGAGTGATCGCGTTTTTCACTTCAGTAGCGGGATCCGACAAGCGGAAGCCGTATTCTACACGAGGGTCAAGGAACAAACGTGGATATGAGCGCATGACAGCAGCCCTTTGGGCAGCCTCCAATTGATGCTCTTGTGTCTAGTCGAGGCGATTAGTAATCATGCCACTTTCCCCAGAAGTTGAGAGGTCAGGCAGCGGACACGGTGTCCGCAAGGTTCGAGCAGGGCTCACGTTGCACCTTTGGCGCCCCTACCCTCTTCTTCTTTCCATACTAGGAAAAAAGTATACAACTCGTAGTCGAGTTCCTCCAGATCTTTGGCGAGGCAATATATCGCCCGTGGCTCGCGCAGTGTGCGGCACCCGGTTGCCGAGAGCTTGGGATGTGCCTCCTCTGAAGCCGCGGACGTTTTGTCTGGAGTTGCACCGCGTGCAGGAGACGAAGAAGGACTCTGCCTGCGGGTGCTCTCGAAACTAGCTAGGCTGGATGTTTTTCGTGTCATAGACACAGGGCTTATTGTGAAGAAGGTCCTGGGGACTTAAAGATGTCTTAGACACGCGAGTCTCGTACGAAGCAAAAAGTAAAAGTGAATTTTGGGTATACCAATTTTGATTGGGGAGAGTGTAATGGGATTACACGTATCCTGGTATGTAAGGGTGTGTCACACATGACGGCATGCCTGTACAAAGTTGTGGATTACACAAGACGGTGTAATCACACAATGGTGTGGCTGCACCGTCACAAGCAGCCACTACGTGGCGGGACTGCCAGTAGTTATGCATATATAGTAGGTTTTACTTGTAGAAAGGAAAACGTAGAGATTTAGATATAGGCGGCTTTGCTGCAAATAAAACATTAGACTATAGTTTAAAATTTGAACGAAAGAGTGTATTGCCTCGGGTTAAGGTTTGGGGGACTCGTGTAGTTAGTGGATTGCGATCCGCTGTACTCGTACTGGTTCTTGTATAGAATGTAGGGTCGGTGCTCTTATTTAAGCAAAGAGCTACTGCAGCCCCGCTGCAAAGGATGTGTGTCTTTAGGTCTTAATGCGCCAGCTTGTTAATCATTTACCGGTGATTTTAGTCTCAAACATATCATTTTGAAATCTCCGGGGTTATCATTCCGTAGGCATCGCAAAAAATTAGCAGAGCATCCGGTTATATTCAGATAAATACTGGTAGGATAGCAGTATTTGTATAGTAGTTATCAGCTGTGTTGGTGTAGGTTTCATATTTTTTTTAAATATTAAGCATCACAACAGGTCGAACAAGAGATTCTGGAGTTACAAGCGATTATACAGGCAGAGATTAAACCTAGAGGTGACAGTCTGCGGTGCTTTGCTGGCTCAAAAATTACTGGCTATACACATCTTGACGATCCACTAATTTATTATGTGAGCAACACATGACACCATAAAAAGCGGTTATTACGATACACTGAAAAATTATGAGATTTAGTTTTGATTGAGCAAGCATTTTATAGTTTTCTAAAGATAATCCCACCTCATTTGCACAACAAGACATCCGAAATTGCTCACTCACCGTTGTCACTATCACCGGATCTTCGGTCGGAGACGAAGGCGTTGGTAAAGCTTTGGCTAGAGATGACAGAGTCACAATCTTCGGGTCGTCGTCGCTGTCGTCACTACCGTTGATGCCGTTGTTGGTGCCATCTTCGTTGCTACTGCTGCCGATCGCATTGACATTCTGGAGTCATCCACAAAGAACACGTCCGATAAAGCTTAATAGGAGAATCAATTTTGTTAAGAGAAAGTAGAATACAACGTTTGAAGCGGACAGAGTTGTCGACTCAAAGGCCTAAACACTTCTTGCAACGGACCTTCTAGCGCTTTGAATAGGTGAAGTCCTTTGGACCGCAAACATAGATATGTGCTATCACTGTATGCTAGAATGAGCAACAGAATGTCGCTTAAGCAATCTCCGATCTGATACTGCGCGCAAAAATTGCGGTCTCTCTTGTAATGTGGCATTCCCATCTTGGTAATTACTATGTCGGAAGTCATTGCACCACCTCACCAGACTTATTGCATGTGGTCATAGCTATCATTTTTCTGTCAAGGAAAACAAGATATAGTTTACATCCAGAAGTTAAAAAGTTTACTAGCTGGGATGTCAACTGCCCTTTTCCAAAATTGATAATAGTTTCTTACACTGTTACCATAATCATTGACAGGTGCGATTTGCATTTTAATCTTCTGCAGACACTCAGCCTTCTATAAGGCAGCGGTGAATATCCTATCAAATGCGAAAGCACAACTTTTGATTCACGAGCGTCGAAACCAGAACGTTAGATTCAAGATGGTCGAGTGAGGTGCGAATGGTGGAGAACTATGTGCGCTACAGAGGCTATGGTTTTTGGCAGAATTGGGTGATACGAGTGGCATCTTAGTTGCTATGCATCGTCGTGGTATCCGCAGGTGAAAATTTGGGGGAGTACGCCTTGCATATTCCTTATTCGCTCGATTAAAGGGCACAATGGTCGAGTTTCCAAGCAAAGCCGGTCGAAGGTGAACTTTCCAGGTTCCACAAGGCGCAGGTGAAATGATTTTCTTGTGCCTCGTGGATGTCGAAGCGACTGAGTTGCAGTTTGTATTGTCGTATGATCCGTGTAGATCAGAAAAGGCTTTGAGCCAAACCGATGCACCATGAACTTAAAAAGTGCATACCTCATCGAAAATATCATTGTCGTAGACTGGGTAGATTTTCTCCGCAGCCTTAAGCTAGCGAAATTCGGATGCGATCACCCAATCTCGGCCCTCGGCGTCTGCTTGCAGCAGTGCACAGCCGACAGCAAAACACTAAAAGGACGATCAGGGTCTGGCAACTCCAGTATTGGTACATGAAGGAAGCTGTCTTTGACCCTGTTAGAATCCTCCTGATGCTCGGTGTCCCGACACCATTCTGTATCCTTCTAAAAGAGATTCGACAATGGCCGTGCCATATCCGCATAGGTTGCGCTATATCTGTGCAAGTTAATGGCAAGACCAAACCACTTGCGCAAGTCCATCTGGTTCTTTGGAATCGGGTAGTCCACAGTGGCCTTGAACTTAGCGGGACCCGCTCGAAGGCCACGCTTCCCGATGAAGCACCCTAAAAAGGAATTTCTTCCTGCGCCGAAGATACACTTATCGGCATTAGCATACAACTTTTTCGTGCACATGCACTCGAGCATCGCTCTCAAATGGTCGATGTGATTCTCCTTATCTGTCCTCGGGTGCCCCGCAACACTATAGACGAAGTTATCTTCAAAATATGCTTGTGCATACGCCCTGTGGGGCCTGAACAACTGCGTCACAAGACGAACAAATGTTGCTGGGGCATTTGACAGCTCTTGAGGCATCACCAGCCACTCCAGAGCATGCCGCTCGGAGTACCCACCGCA